CAAGAAGAGGTAAATTATGGCATATTCGCAACCATTTTTCTTTTATATCTTCATCTACTGATTGATCCCAGTCAAAACCCTTAAGCCATAATTCTTGAAGTAATATTTTAGACTGAATTATACAAGGACTCAGTAGCCCCAGTGGGTCAAATATACGAAAGGAATTAGACATAATTTTTCTTTTTGTAATGACGTTGTTGTCAATTATAGTTTTGACAGGAAAATTAAACCTATCCGATTGTGGGTCCCAACCCAAGCCGAGAGTGCTCGACGATTCACTAAAGGTAAGTTTTTCCTTAGAATTAATATTTGAATTTTGAAAAAAATTAGGAGAATTAGTTTTGAACTTTCTCAAATGAAAACAGGCAGATTCAAGAGCATCAGGTACTGAATCTTTTATGTATTTTAAGTCCCCCTCCTCATCAGCACCTGTTATTAAATCATCGACATAAAAATCCCTTTGAATAATAGTTTTTATACGACGATCAACGCATTCTTCCCCTACTTGCCATAGACATCTAGTGCTAAGGTAACTGGCACATGCTGTGCCATAAGTCACCGTATCTAATTGAAGAATTTTTATAGCTTGCGACTCGTTGTCTCTCCATAATATTAGTTGTAAATTACAGTCATCTTTGTCAACCACAATTTGGCGATACATTTTAGCTATATCACCTGTTAAAATAAATTTATATTGACGTGCTCTTAGCAAAATTGAAAACAAAGAATCTTGAATATTAGGGCCTGTCAACAAAATGTCATTGACTGAATAGCCTGATGAAGAAGGAGCAGAACCATCAAACACTACTCAAATTTTTGTAGATTCACTGTCATGCTTGAAAACAGCATGATGACATAGAAAGTATGAAGTATCGGGAATGCTATTTATCTGAGACAAATGCTGTAATTCAGCATACTCACGAATAAATTCTGAATATTGTAACTTCAATTCTGGGTCTTTACGAAATCGTTTTTCAAGATTAAGGAATCGTTTTTTAGCTAAACTATATGAATCCCCTAGGCAATCTGGTGAGTTCTTTAGTGGCAATCTCACACAAAATCTACCATTATTTAAACGTGTAGTATATTTAAGAAAATGTTTTTTGCATTGTATATTTTCAGAAGTTTGCAACTTCCTTTGAGGAAGTTCTTCTAGTTCCCAAAATTTAGAAAGCATTTCATCAATATTGGACTTAACAATTGTTGCATGATTGCATTGTATATTTTTGTATGAATATTTAGAATTTAATGGACCAGCTATAATCCAGCCCAATTTTGTATTATGTAATCTTGGTAAGTTGGGTCCTAAGGAGTGTTGTTCACATCCCAGGATGTCCCAAAATATGTCGGCCCCAATCAATACCTCAATAGGAGCGGGTTGATCCAAATGGGGGTCTGCAAGTAGAAGCCCTTTAGGAATGTGTAAATTTTGTACATTGACTGGAGCCTTTGGTAGGTCTCCCGTTAGATCATTTAGAACATAACAACACATCGTGATTTGATAAGAAGAATGTATGGACTTTAGACGAGTAACACAGCTTTCGACTGCTTTATTGGAACAAGTGTTACCGATTCCAATGACATTGACACTATCTAATGAATTGCACTTTAAGTTTAATCTAGTTTGTAATTCTTTAGTAATAAATGAAGATTGGCTACCGCTGTCTAGAAGCGCGCGAACCTGTTCTGTTTTGTTGTTTTGAGGATTATATAATTCTATTATGACGGTTGACAAAAGTACCTGACTTGAATTTTGTTGTGAGAAAGCCACCATAGTCTCACCATTATTTTGACTAATGTTGCATTTTACCGAAGCGCTGGGATCGTGGAGTAGCGTATTGTGCCGTCGATTGCATTGTCGACATGATCCCATGCGACATTCTGAAACAGGGTGACCTTGACGAAGACAATTTTGACATAATTTGTATTGGGATACGAGTTCTAATCGCTCTTTGATGGATTTTGATTTGAAAATAGGACAATCATAGATCCTGTGGTTACTGTTACAAATAACACATAATAAAACTCTGGATTGTATAAAAGGTTGTTTTGTAACAGCGAAGGTTTTTGTTTGTTGGACGCGATTGTTATATGGTTTATGTTGATTGCTATGATTGAATGGTCTTGAGGAGCGTGGTAAAGTCCTCGAATTTGAATTATTGTTATTATTATTTGAACCAATAAACTTATTTCTATTAACTGATTCTAAAACATCAGCTCGATCTATCAAAAATCTGTTAAACTGTTCCAGACTTGGGACATCTTCTAGTGTATTTCTATATTCTTCCCATTTGAGCATAGTATGGCTGTCTAATTTAGAAGATAACATATAAATAATAATTAAATCCCAACGATCAGTGGGTTGACCAAGGCTGGCTAGTGCACGTAGGTTCTTAGTGACATGGTCAACTAAAAAGCGCAGTGATTTTTCAGACTCACGGACTATAGGCTCAATATTAAATAATGAATCCAAGTGATTGTTTATTAAAATCCGCTTATTATCGTATCGCTCGCATAATAATTTCCAAGCGTCTTTATAATTTGTAGAAGATATTTCAAGATTTGACATCAAACGAGCTGCATCACCCTCAAGATATGACATTAAATAGTGAAATTTATGAATGTCTCCTATGCGTTCATTATTGTGAACCAAACTTGTATATGTATCGCGAAACTCCAACCACCGGAACAAAGAGCCGTCGAATTTCGATATTTGTATCTGAGGTAGTTTGAAATTGGCAACTTGGCCATTGAGTGAGATAATGTTTGTAGACTGTCGTCGTTGCCCTTCAGTGTTTATTAAATTATGATCATTGAATTCTTGTATCAAAGATTTCGCCAAAGCTATATTTTGAATAAAGTCATTTTCAACGCGTTCCCGCTCATCGAGTTCGACAGTTATCGTATCTGCATTTAAAACCTCAATCTCAGTTTGCAACGTATCGAATTTCAACGAAAGGCATTCCAGTTTGTTAAGTTTTAAAGTTAGTTCGGCTATTTCAATATTAGTGATTTCAGTTGCCTTGCTAATCTTTTCTAAATAATTTTTGAATTTGGTAATTTGGCCTTTTACAGAACTTCTTTTAACTATTAGATCCTTTAGTGACATGTTTGCACGATAGATTTGAATTATTTTAACGATGAAATTACTTGAATTGAAATAAAATGGAAATGTGGGTAACCAAAAAAATATATATATATATAAAAATTTGTTTTACAAACTACTATATAAAATATTGTTAAAAGATAGTTTGCATATAAAGAGAGAACAAATAAAAAATCTTACGCTCCTTATATGATGAATCCGGCAGCAGGAACCAGTCAGCTCTCCACTTAGTATGCGGCAAATTATAAGTTGACTTGCAACCAATAAAATATTTCTCTGTGCAATTGTATCTTGCTTGTATTTAGTGCAATGCAATCAATGACTTGTATTCTATGCACTGCACTCACAGAGAAACCTGGAATTGTCAGCAAATCAGGTCAAGGTCATATAATTTACTGGTGCACTAAAGAAATATTATTGTATTTTATACTAAATATTTAAAAACAATTTCAATGAAATATATTATTGTTTGAAAATAATATTTTTCACGTTGAAAAAAGTCACCTGTTTTAAAAATTTTAAAAACTCAAAAAAAAAACAAAAATTCATAAATTAGCACAAGTGATAGCATTACTAGGGAAAATAATCTATATAGATGGATTTTTTATCATGGATTGTGGAAATCTTGGAAGATGGATATGGATTTAGGTGGATTTGGTGGAACAAAGGAATGGCACTTATCTTTTTTAATTTGTTGAAAATGTTGAATCCCCGTGCGATTTTTAGTGGAATCGCTGCCCAGGTAGTTAATGCTGCTGTACACTGCAATCTTGGTATAATCCTTTTGTTCCCTTTGTAAATTTTGACATCCAAATTTCTCCACGTGTACTGGTATATTGAGACGCAATATTTGGTAAAATTTCTTGAAAAAAGAGCAATTGCGTCCTGTCACGGTCGCCAAATTTTCTTGTTTTAGCACAAAAATGGAGTTTCTTCAATAAAACCCTGAAATACTTGAAGTAAATGTATAATTTCGATAATTTGCTTCTATACAGATCAATGGTCGAGCGATAAGTGAAAGGTGAGTAGTTAGCCCTAACCTACCTCACAACAGTTTTTATAAAAATATAACGCCTTATGAAATTTTAGATGCAATTTAACAAATTCAATTATATTTCGATTATCTTGATCTGTGTCTTGGCATAGGCTTCAACACTATTAATGAATAAAAATTGTGACATGTAATAAATCACTATTATTGAAGAATATATTAAAGAAAACAATATTCAAAGAACAATAAAAATATCTGTTTGAAATTATTTATCACACAGCTCCCGCACTATATAACATTATTCTATAATTCATTTCTGCAACGTTGTTTATGTATATTTTTCTGCAAGTAAGGCATAAAGTGGTATACGACTAACATCCGCTAAATGAAACGTGATACTTTAGCAAGTAAATAATCTTCCCGTGTGTTACGTGGTGAATGACAAATTTGCTTTTTTAAAAACAATATTTTATTTTCTATAAACTAATACATCGATGTGAGATGTTACCCTTACGACTACGGAGTTGGAACTAAACTATTTTACAATGCATTCCCTTTTTAACCACAAGATGTGGGAATAACAAATAATATTAGCCTAATGATTTGTTAACAACTTAATGGTTACTAAATAATTTAGATATGATAAGTTCATCATTAGGATGTAGACAAAATGTAAGTCACAATGGATAATTATATGTATGAGAAAGTCAAACAGGATACTTCTAATTAGCAATAACAATAGATGAGATAGTAAACAATCACTTTGTCTAATAACTAATTTAATAGTTTAATGTCAATGAGTAAAGAGAATAATTAAAGACAATTATGATAATATCTAGGTAGGTATATAGTTATTATTATTATGTAGTGTAGGTGTGCTAGCATTATATAACACCTCCCCTCTTAGAATAAAGATCGGGCGTTAATGCCGGATCTTTGGGTTTGAGAAGGCGATGAAGGTGAGTTGGTTTCTTCTTCGTCGTCCGAGATGCACGAAGTCGTCTGAATTTCTCGCATAGGGATGGCAACTTGAGTTGTACGGCGTCTTGAAAAGTTATCAAAACAATTGTTAAATATCTGAACACAACTGTTTTCACGAGTAAAAGAGCAGCGTCTTCGATTCAATCCATTAGGATAGTAATGGCAGCATTTGTAGATCAAATATGTAAGAAGAATCATGCCAATCGTGAATTGGATAAAGAAAAATGTGTGATGATGTTTTTCAATAAAAGGTTTCGTTGTCAGCTTCTTTATTTCCTCTTTGTGTAAATCCAGTTGATGACGAATTTGTTTTAACGAATCCAGAGGTAATTCATTAAACGCGATGGGGATTAGATCTGGAGCTTTAATGTTGCTTGTGTATTCGAAACAATCCTCCATTCTTATATCGGGCATTATAATCGGGTAAGTTACATTTTCTTCAGAAGTCTGAAATGCGGTGAGAGTGCTGTATCCAGTAAATAGTTTGCAATTCTTTGGTAGGGTCAGAAGTCCGACTCCTTGTAATTTGTATTGTGACACTTCATTTGAACATTGTAAGACACATTGTGTTTCATTCGTAACGATGTAGAGCCATTTATTGTTGTCGATGTTCTGGAATGTATTTATGGATGCAGTGAACGTTGTAGTTACGCAGGTTTTAGGCAGCGATGTCGAGATGATGTGTAGTATCTGAAGTTCGCAGATGGGACGTGTGATGGAATCGTAGACGACGAGATTGGTGCAAACCATCTTCTTTGATGCATAGGTTTTGCAGTTGTCCAGAGAGCTAGTAGAGATGTATTGTTGTCCATTTGGGCTTGTGGCAAGATACATATGCTCAGGAAGGATGGTGGTGTAATATGATGAATTAGGATGTTGAATGGGAATTGAGTAAATATGATATGTCTTGAATGGATCGCTTTGGATCAAAGGTAAATCAATAATGTATACTAAGCGATTGGAATAAACATATAGAGTACATGATTCTAATATGGTGTGTATATTGTTTAGTGTGACTGAATCAACTAAGCGTTTACTAGTGCGAATGTGATTAGACAAAAGAAGTTTTTCATAGAGTTTCTTTATATTAATTATAGAAGGGTGTATAGTGTTGGATTTGGCAAATAAAATACTCATAAGGCAATCGTTAATTTCGTTTTCTAAGCTAGTTACTGACTCTAGAATTTGTATTGAAATTCTTGAAATCTCTTCGCTTACTTGAATGTCAAATATGATTTTTCCAGTGGCATTTAAATATGTGTTTAAACGATCGAGGTTTTCATTAATAATTTGTTCATCATACGATATTTTAAAAATTGTCTCGTTAAAATTTTGGACAGTAGATGACGTTATTTGGATTTGTTTTTCCATTAATTTAGTTATATCTAATTCGCGTTTTTCTAATTTATCGATACATTCGTCATATTTTTTAGCATCTTTTGCATCAGGTGTTCCAATCAACCATTTTAAAACTGAGCTGAGTCCATCAATTAATTCGCGCTTTTGTCTGGAATTCTTACCTAGATATAGATTAAGTTCTGAAAGTCGATTTTCGATTTTATTTAAATTAATATTTAAGAAAGATTTTGTGGATTGTATGTCAGGGAAATTGTTATGTTGAGATGATATTGACTGAAATTTTTGAGAGAGTCTTATTAGCGACTTTTGAGCGATAAATAATGGTTTAAGGTCTTTATATACTATTAATTTCCAGAATTCATCGGAAGGATATATATTGCTTTCCTCTTTAAAAAAGAGTCCTGAATGATTTGGAAGATTTTCGAGTATCTCTATACTGTTTGTGAGAGCGGTACCATAGAAGGCCCTGAAAGCGACAAAATTGTCTCATTAGTTTTACGTTTACGAATACAATTCTTAACTAACATGTACAATTTGTATAATAATATGTAAAATATTAATTTTATAATGGAACATACAATAAAGCTTATGTATGGGTTATTCATGAGTATGATAAGCGTATCCATGTAGGAAGCATTTACTGCTGACAAGCAAAAGGTCCTGTAATTAAAATTAAGTTATTGTGAGTTAATTTATTTATATATATTTTTTATATGAAATTGTAAACGAGTATAATGGAAATAGAAATATAAAATGTTTACTTATTTATTAAGAAGTATAGCTAGATTTATTATGACGAAGAATTAGATTATCATGACCTAGAGTTAGATTCATTATCACATAGAATTAGACTTATTGTAGAGGATTATGATATAGAGTTAGAAATTATGATTGATAGAACAAGCTCATGCTTACAGTTTGCTATAACCTTTTTATAATCTTCAGCAAATCCTAATATGTTACTTAGTGGTATTGATACAGAGAATTGACCACCGATAGTATTTTTTAAACCCTGTATATTCCAACCCCAGACTTCAGATATCTTCGATTCAGTTTCATTCATGGAGAGTAAAGATTTCATAGTAGTTGTTATACCAACATTTTTCACTTTATCTATTTCAACGCCGTTTAACTCATAACGTATGTCTTGAAACAAATACATCAACGCATTATTAGTAAAATGAAAAGAAGGCACTCTTTCTTTTGTACCCTTATCTCCAAATTTGCTCATATTTACCACTCCTTCAATATACAAGGTGCTTGCACTTGGAAGCACATATAAGTCTTGTTGATTTATCGGTATTCTTATTTCATCATTTCTATTGAAACTTGTTATGTATGGTTTATAAGAATGAGTTTCTATGCACTCTATAGAATTGTCATATGCAAACGGATTTGTTATATTTAGAATATTCATTTTAACAATCCAATCAATTTCAAAAATGCTTTATTTTGTGGAGTTAGTTTAATATTAGCAGAAGAATGTGTGTTCTTGCGAAGTGATCGAATACCACTAAACTTGTGACTATGAGATGATTCGTTTTTATTGTAATCAATCATGTTTCTTTATATGTAAGTATAAATTCACTTCTTCTCCTCGAAGGTCAACAGGATTATTATATATATCTAGTATTCTTATGGCGATACTATTGATAGTATCTCTGTTTACTGGAAAATATATAGTATTCTTTGGTATTTCTATTATTCTATAACCCGGAGGTACCGTGGGTGCAAACTCATGTAGTATATGACTTGGTTCACCGTTTATATACGACCCGCTTATGATATCACATTCGACTCTCACCACAGTCGTTGATAAAATGTTTACGGGAAGAAGTGACTCATGTAATATATGACTTTTTAGGACTTCCTTACTATAACCCAGCAATTCTCCGAAAGAATCGTGTTTTTCAAAATGAATATCTTTAGTACAGAATATAGTTGTCTTTAGTGTATTGTTATTGCAATATAACTTTAAATCACAATCTTTTACTTCAAACTTTAAAAAATCGTAAATATCTTGTAGTTCATAAGCTCCTTCAGGAATCTCAACCACTTCATTAGTACCATAGTGAAATTTGTTATTAGCTTTAGTGATATTCGGTATAGAATTAAAAGTCGAGAAATGCAATAATGCACATTCATAATCACCATTCAGATTTAAAGTTGGTGAGTAGTTCGTGGTTAATATGGAACTTTTGCCAGTTATAGACAATGTGAAAGACATCGTGAAAATGTATATATAAAAATCAAGTCTGTCAATATATACTAACTTGATCCCAAAAGTTGTGCAAAAATTTTAAACATAAATGTCCACAATTAACGCTATTATATTTTTGATATCGATTATAATTGTAATAAATATCACGATGACCGAAATATTTCAATAACTCTTTTGGTGGTTTTAAATCACCAAAACTATCAAAATATTCACAATAACTGTTTATTATTGCATAAGCTACCCAATGCGTTCCATTGTTATTATGATTATCTAAATTAACGATTCCACATTCTATTGGTTTTGACTTAGTTGGTAATCTATCTTTCATATAAACTCCTCGAAAATGAGGTATATTTCTAGAATATTTCATTAACTCAATATTAGATAAAGCTTTATTGGGTAACTGCGAAATTAGTTTTTTGAACTTCTTATAAATAAACCACTGCCTTTTTTATACGGTTTGATGTAAAGACCTTTTCCCAATGCAATAGCTTCCATGGTTTTATTGTGACGTTCTGATTCTTTTAAATTTTGTTGTGCAGCTTTGTATTCATTTACCGTTTTCGCAACACCTGCCGCACCTCCAGCTAATGCACCTAGAGCAGACAATCCCGCAAAAATGGGTATCAGAGGTAATATTCCTCCTGTCTTTGGAATCGGTATTATTCGCGGTAGACGATAATGACAATTTTTGGGAAAGCATTTTTTAGCAGCTTCATATGCATACTTAATTGCAGCTGTATGGCTCTTTGGTTTGATTTTTTTTATTTGAGATTGAATTTTCGATACAATTGTCTTAAATTTTTTTACTCCAGAACCACTTTTTACTTTAGCTTTCATAACTTTACTAACTAACCATGACGCTAGTTTTTCACCTCTTCCAGCGTCTTTCGAATGCAATCGTCTCTTAGCCATGCTGAGTAGTTCCAAGTCTGCTTTATGTCTACTGTTTGAATCGGTGTTTATGTACGCAATATCATGAAATTTGCAGGCTTCGTCTAATTCATTGACTCCTTTATCACCTCTCGCTAATCTTTCTTTTAACTTGGTCCCTGGTCCACAATAGTTATATCCTGGTAAATGTAGTTCAAACGGTAAACTGTCAATTATACTGTTGACTAGTCCTCCTCCTTGCATATCTGGATATGCAATGATTACAAAAAATGCTATTTAACTCTTATATTATATAGTGATTGAACTGCGATCAATCCAACTGTTTTCACTATTAGGGAGACCTAACCATTTAACGAACAATTTATTACCCTTCTTTTTAATTACTTTTTCTATTAAATAAACATCAGGATGATTAGTTTTTTGTAACTCTTCCTGGTAAAACGTTCCTAATATTGGTTGACTCCTTTGGTCTTGTAAATTATATGTAACAGGATCAGTTTTATTGACCGATTTAATAATAAATAATTCTGTTGACCAATTCGGTGTATAACCCTTTTCAAAACTGCTTTTGTATTTGCTTATTCTAACAAAATCACCTATTTGAAATTTATTCCTTTGTGATTTAATTCGTCTGTTAAAAAACTTTTCGATGTTATTCTTAACCTTTGTTTCATTTATCGAATTTACATTAACTGGTTTATGTTTAGTGACACTATGCTTGCTATTATTATAAGTATTCAAAACATCTTCTAAAGTCTTTCCCACCCATTTATAACTACCGTTATAGCTAAAAGATACATGCAATTTGTTCTTTAATGTTCTTATCAATCTTTCAACAATAGATGCTTTTTTTGTAGAGTAAGTCGAATAGTGCTTTATATTTAGTGACTGCATTAGTTCTTTAAATGATTCATTGTAAAATTCTGTTCCCATATCAGTTTGTAAGTGAACAGGAGATTGACCACTTGTTTTGAGAATTCTCTTAAACGCATTAACCACACATTTTCTCGATTTTGACTTTAAGGGAATACCCCATGCATATTTGCTAAAGCAATCAATAACAATTAAAATATATGTGTAACCACTGTTATATTTTTTTAAAGATTTAAAATCAATTAGATCTGCTTGCCATAGATCATTAATGCCTTTTAGTACAACAGATCTTCGAATAAAGTTTTTACGTGCAGACCTATGGATTTCTTTTACTACTTGGAGCTTGACCATTTTTTCTGTTGGTTACATTCTGTTCATTCAAGCTCTTAGTGTTAAACTTCTCTTCAAACTGTTTAATTTTGTTGGTGATATCAGCTTTTATTGATTCTATCCAAACATGCAGTTCATGCTTCGTGCACAAGGTTGC